CCAAAGGGTAGTCACACCAAATATTGATTTGAATTGGTTTTCTCTTCTGTTCGCTACTTTGCATTTTGTAAATTGGTAAACATAAAAAATTACAATATATATTTTTGAAAGCATTCTTCCTTTACAGCATTTTTTCACACCTGCCTAAAACTTTTGCACAGTACTGTAATTCTTCCTTTACAGCATTTTTTCACACCTGCCTAAAACTTTTGCACAGTACTGTATGTAGATATATATGTATATATATACACGAATGATTAAAAGCAACAGATAAATTATTATCCTGAAGACCTGTTAATTACTTTATTCAATAACTGAATAAATGCCCACTCATTTATTTAGTTATTTATGACTATGCAGTGATTCTTTTCAAGATACAAACCTCCTTTTTAATTACTATTTCTTCCCTTTTATCCATGTTTTCTTCTTCAAGCTTCATTAACTCTCTCTGGATCTTCTGGCGCTTCATTTCCAAAGACAGTTCATGGTCATAATCATAATTAACATCTCCGTTATCAGAATCTTAAGTTAAGAAAAAGAAGGTAGGAAGGAAGAAGGGAACAAAGACAACCAGTTAGTAAACCCTTTGTTTATACAATTACACTTTAAAAAGTGGCCATAATTCAATATATATGGACATTATGATTTCACATGATTAATTTAAGACTGATTCCAATTAGGAAGTGAACATGCTTTTTGGAAGTTATTCAGTGATGTGTAAGCAAGTTCAAGAGAGAATATGCATTTTCTCCTTTCAATCCTTCAAACAACCTATAATCTGATAGTCTAGCCATAGGCTGGTTTAAATGCAAATGTAAATTTTCTTCCCAAAGGAGAAGAGATAAAAAATATTTAAAACAGGAAGAGATGGACAGAAATAAGTGCCCTTGCTATTGCTTCTCTACTGCCAAACTGGCTCTTTCGGCACTAAAGAGGCCATTAGAGTACTATTACAAAATCAGTAACCTCTACAATTCAAATTGCTCAGTTCTCACTCTTGCCCTCTTTTTCATACATGAACTCAGTCCCCTCCCATGTCCTCCTTTTGTTCCCTTTCCTCTGTTTTTGCCTCCCTGAGATAGGTAGCAACAGCATACAAGGGTTTGCTCTTCTAAAAATTTGTACACTAATGACATCTCAAGCAAGACAACAGCAGGAGTGCATCCAAATGGCTTCACGGGCTGTCATTAAGTCATCTGTAAGTCAATGGTACAATGCATACAGGTAGTCCTCACTTACTGATCATTCGTTCAGCGACTGAAGTTACTATGGTGCTGAAAAAAATAGCTTCACAGCCCATTTATGACCATTTACAACTTTCACAGCTTCTCTCAGTCACGTAATTGCCACTAGAGTCAGTTCGAGTTATCCTGAGCCTGACCTGCGTTTTTCTCCCCGCCCCC